GAACATTTGATAAATGACGCTAACCAATTATTTTCGATGATTGATCGGTTGTAATGGACCAATCATCAATTATGAGATTTTAACCAATTCCCAACTCTACTAAACATGGGGAGGACAAGAATATGACATATGGTGAAGTTTGGACCCGAGTTAGGAGTTGACAGCCTCTATTTCCTGTGAGTGGAGCATCTTACTTGGATCAGGTGGCCAGGGTTTGGAGGCTAGGTTGTCATGTATGCTATATAGACTAAAAGACCTATGAAGATTAGGGTTAGAATTTCTCTTCAGCAACCCATGCTTTTCATAACAGGTGACCATGGGGAAACCAGTGAACTTGCTGCTTAATTTGCATGTCATCATATCCCAGTTGTGTAGATCCAGACTCATTTTATAGAGACTGCCATCATATAGCTGGAAAAATGCTCAGTGAGGCATTTAACAACAAACAACACCCTCAAAAGGATACAGTCCAAAATAAGAAATAATGTAATGCTGGCCAGAAGTTACCTTTAAGAAAAGGTCGATATTTCTATTAAAGGTAATACAGTTGTGAAAATAGCAAACATCAGTATGGTCACTTTCTCCAGTCAGAGACACGGATCATGATACATATCTCATAACTCAATTGATAATATTTTCACACTGGTGTTTTTGTTGTTGTTGTTTTGAGTGTTTAATAATGTATTTCGATGTAAAAATGAATTCACTGAATCAGTAAAAATGTCTTAATATATATACGTTTGAAAACACCAGTGAGTATGGCCTTTGGTTTTGCAAGAGTGTTCATTGTCTTGAAAGGTCACAGAAGGTTCTTAAGCTTTTTGCTCACAATGAACCATGATATATATGATTAAAAAAACACAAACAGATGATTCTGGCATAGTTAATTGGCACAAAACCTGCATTAGCTCACTTGGCTCTTGTCTCATGGACCGCCTCCTGTGGTGTAGTGGTTAGAGCGTCCGCCCAGAGAGCGGAAGGTCGCGGGTTCGATCCCCGACAGCGTCATACCAAAAGACGTTAAAATATGGTATTTGTTGGTCCCTGCCTGGCGCTCGGCATTAATGGGTACAACAAGGACTGGTCGGCTCGGAGTCAGTATAATGTGTCTGAGTGGGGTATCCATGCTTCACTGCGGCATGGTATCTCAGTGGGCTAGCACTATAAAACCAGCTTAAGTCTGGGCTAGTTCAAGCAGCCGCACATACACACATAAACACGCATGCACGTCGTCCTATGAGCGAAATATTCTCAAGCACGACGTTAAATCCGATTTCACCTCACCTCACCTTTTCTCATGATGACATTGCAAAACATGTGGCAGACATTTGATGTTTAATAATACATGTAGAATGAACATGCCCTTTGAACAAACATGGCTACAAGATTTTGCAAGTTAATGTCTTGTTCTTGATTCTGTTACATTACATGTGACCCACATCATTAGTTATATGAGTCATTTTAATTTTATTTTAGCACAGTATACACTCTTAAACCTGATTAATAATAAAACCTGTCTATGCATTTCAAGCTTGACTGGAAATGTTGCTACATCCATTTAACATGTGATCTGAACAGGAAAACTCCACTGACAGACAGTATGAGTGTTGTTATACTAAGTGTATCATTAAAGACGAGGAAATTGATCATCAACATGTCTCAGCCGTGGCAGGGAGCTGTGTTCTTACTCACATCCCATCATTCAACTCTGCTGCACATTAGTTGCCCAATGTCAAGGTTGAAGACCTGTAATCTACTTTGTTGTTCATTGCTGGTGGTCTTGATTACTTTATTGATTTCGGGGATCAATATTCTCGTACCATCTGATTGATTTCTTTCAAGTAGACATGTGCTCCTCAACAGATCCTATCGCCTTGGATGTTGCAGTTGTAAATCCTGTTTCTAATACCCTTGGCTGTTATTATATTGGCAGAGCAAAGGATTATTTCAAAATGTGCTTGTGTCAGCTTCTTTGATTTTATTTGGTTTTGTGTTTGAAGCTAAGAAAATACACATTGTTAAAATGAGATAAAAACTGGCTTAAGTATTTGACCTTTAACATAACGGACAGTGTGTTTGAAAACAAATTTAAGGCTTTGGGAACCTGATGCTATCTCAGAGTTTATGAAAGGTCAGCTAAGTCGGTATTAAATAATGTTTGAATGTCAAAGCTGTGTGAGCAGTAATCTGAATTCGAACCATCTTCTTAATTACATATGTGCACAACACTCTGTATAACTTTAAAGGGATTAATGATTTGAGGCCCTGGGATTTATTGTTTTAATTTTGTTGAGACTCTCATACTATTCTTGTGACAGATAGAAATCTGAGTACCTCATATCCACTGATGTCTTAAGTGAATTCAGTATCAATCCTATGATAATATTGCTTGTAAGAATGGCATAGGGAATGGCACAAAGGGTGTATCTGTATTATATATTCCAATGTTGGAAGTGAAACATTTTATGTTCTAGGCCATGTAGCATCAGTTATTTTTTCACCTCATTTCATGTACAGATATTAGTGACAAGAACCATTGTAGTCATGAAAGATTTAGAGGTCTCAAAAAACTTTGATGAATGTGTTTGGGAAGGCAGCAATTGCAAAAGAAAATCAGGTCTCACTTAGGAACACAAAATATATTCAATGATATTTGGGGGAAAACGCATTTTAGTATGATTAATATTCTGACTGTTTGTGCTGGATTCCTGTATTGATACCAAAGAGATACCTCTCTCTTTCCAATGTCAGTGCTGGTACATGAAAACTCTTCGTTTGTTTGCAATTCAGATTCTCCAACACAAACTGTCAGCCTTTTAGAATTTTTATGCCTTTGTATCGGTATATGAGCCACTCCAGGACCTTCAATATAGATATCATATCGTCTGGTTTGAATCGATTTCCTCAGTGTCATTCAACTATATTGTGCCTTGGCCATGTCTTGGAAGGCTATTTGGGCAAAGATTCAATATTACGATCATTGCAAACTCGAGATTTCCTCAATTTATCATGTCCTCAATTCTCGGGGTATTGGAAATGGGTTTGATGCCGCACAACTGAATAAGAGAAAAGGGAATAGATTTTGAAATTGTCTGAATAGAGATATGAGGACCATTTTGGGTTGAGATTTTGCAAAGGCATGAAATGATTTTATACAAAGGCTTGCAGTGCGCATCTTTAATCAATCAACAACTGACTTATGTCAGAGTTTGTAGTTTATGTCCTTGGTACTTATCAATACAAAAACAAATACGAAAAAGCAAATACATACAATGTTTACACATGACTTTGATTTATTCCATGCATCCATATGTTTATTATCCCACGAAGTGGAAGGGGAATATAGTTTTGTAATCCGTCCGTCCATCCGAGATGATGGGGATAGATTTTCTCAGTAACCGTTATAGATAGGGAAACCAAATTTGGTATGTGTTGTTAGGACAAAAATGCCTTCATGGAGTTCGAAAACGGAAACTGTGTTACAATTTGTTACAGAGTTACAGCCCTTGCCATGCATTTCATGACTTAGTGCACGGTTGACCCAATGGGGACAGATTTTCTCAGAAACTGTTATAGATAAAGAAACTAAATGTGGTATGTGTTTTCAGGACATGAATGTCGTGGTGTAGTTAAAAAATAAGAACTAAATAGGAACAAAACACTGGCAGGGGATATTGATGACCATGTCTTCTTGTTAAACCTATGTTGGTATAGAATGAGCGGACATACAGGTGAAGTATGAAGTATGAAGGGATCTACAGTAATACTTTGAGTTAATCAAGGTTTGACACAACCTCACACTAATGACCAAATATGGAGTACACAGGACTAAGTCATTGGTTGGAGACAATTGTAAATTTACACCATCAAATCTTTGTGTTTGTACATGTAATCGGTATTCATGATATTTGAAAATAATTATGCACATTAACATTTATTAGCGGTATTGTTTCTTTTCGAAACAACTATGATATATAATCTATTTTCACATAACCATTTATGCACAGTTACACAACAATAGGCTGAGATTGTGTCTGGCTCTTTTTAACAATAATAAATGTTGATACTACCTCTTGAAAGAGTATTAATCAAGGAAATATATACAGACAACCACCTCCCTATAGAATGGAAACCCTTAGAGAGTTGCTTGTTGCTGCTTCTGTCAACCACAGGTGCTCAGGCCATATTTGATAATTTACAGGCCTGTCTGACATACCTAAAATGTTGCTGACTGTGGTAGAATTCACTTCATTATGGGTCCAAGACCACCTCATTCAGGGTAGAAGAAGGCGTCCATAATACTCTTTCAAAATTAGTGTTTACTAGTTTGATGTCCTTTTGACACTTCAGATGTGTTTGTTGTACAGTAGGTTTTAGTAATTTCAAATTTCGTCTGAGCCACTGACCCATGTAGATAATTGTCTATTACCAGTAACCAACCATGACGTTTGTTTTTTATGCCCAAAAATTAGGAAAAGATAACACAAGAGTAAAATTATTTATTTATTTTCTTACTCCCTTCTTTCACTGCTGGTGTCCCCTGCCGGGATATTGCTAAAAGCGCCGTAAAACCAAACTCAGTAAGTCAGTCAGTCAGTCATTATAATTGCTAGAATTTACATTGTGTATGAATGGTTTAATGTTTGAAGTTTGTTTAGAATTCATCTTATCAAAATATGATAGTGAAATTTTAGTCTGTGAGGAAGAAGAAACCGTTTGTATAATAATACAAAATCTCTGCTAAAATCAGAAACCCTTGTATGTTGCTGACAATATCATAAACATGTGTTTATGAATATCTTTCAAAAGTGATGATATGGGTGTTTGAAAAAAGGGGAGATTTACTGCCCCACCTACAGCACCTGACACTAACACATGCAAAGTCAGTTGTGGCAGACATATTGAAGTTGTTTAATATATGTACTTTGAATTTTTAGTATGCATATGCATGTATACAAATCTCACTGATTTAACAATATAGAAACATATTTTTCATTCAGCAGAAAGGAGTCTAAGAAGAATAAAAATAGGAACACAATACCAGACGAGTCGGAAATGCAATCAACTATGGGGTTCAGGGTAAGTGCAGTAGAAATCTATGGCCATTTCCAGTAGTGAATTATTGATGCAACATGTTGTCTTAGGTAGGTAGCTCTTTCAAAAGAAGTTGCCATTCTCGCATTATCATTTTGATTGTGAAATATTCATAAGCATTGTGATTCAGAGACTCAGTGTCAACCTGCATTGGCAGCAGCAGTGGGGTAGTCTAATTGTGGACTGTCCTACCACATACACACGCTGGAGGCTTGTCCTTACCTTGTACTTGGCGCCTGTTGACGATACATCAACAAGCTTTGTGTGTCTCACTCAGAGTGGACTCTTCTAATTGCCGATTTAGCTCAAAAGAGGGCTTTTGGAAATTCCTACGATACCCTGCCAGTACACTAGCCTACCAGGACTGAGGAGTCACGATGTTGAAACATTCCTCTCATATCATCATTTGCCTTATCATGTGTATCAAGGTAATGTTGCCAATGTTCGTGTCTTTCAGACTGAATGGTCTAGGTTCAGATTACGTTTCACTGTAGCCATATGTGTCTGTTGTATATTTCAACTTCATGCTCATTTCACATAACTGCAAGTTCTGTGATGGAAAGACTACCATGACATAGATCACAGGGAGGAGGGTGAAAAATCAATACGTGTGTAGCATTTCAAACAGTCTTCGTTTCAGGAAGGGATGTCTTGCCCAAAATTGTCTTAACTGTTGTCCACTGATGGAATTAATGATGTTATAACCCATAATGGTTGTCTAGAGTTAATTCCTAACAAGTGTAATTGCAGACCTAAATTGTGTAGCAGTTGTTCAACCATCAGACGTTCCTGGCATCAGGCCATGGTGTGCTGATCCATTGATCACAGTTATATTTGTTCGTATTTGTTGTCGTTACATGCTAGTGTTTGTGGAATAATTCATCATTGAATCGAACACTTGTTATTGTTATGAACTGTAATTATTTCCTTTTGCTTAAACTAATCAATATAATCCACTAATAGTTCTGTTAACTTCGATAAATCCAGATATTAAAAAAAGACGAAAATAATTACACCAGGATGTTGTGTGTTGAATGGCTTAACATATTCTTTGAGAAAATCACTGAAACATGTATCAGTAATTTAATAACTTTTCTTTCAAGATTGAACTGGCATGCTCTAGTTGGATCATTTACGGTTAATTGGTTGTAGTCTAAAACAGAATAGTGGAGCTACATTAAATAATCATGTAACATAATCTTGTTATGCTGGTAAGCCAATAGTTTAGTCAGGACATTCTACACTAATGAAGGTATTGAGAATGTTTACCAGATCTCCAGTCAAGCAGGGGCCAGTGGGGTAGCCTAGTGCTTAAGGCGTTCGCTCGTCACACCAAAGACCCGGGTTCAATTCCCCACATGGGTACAATGTGTGAAGCCCATTTCTGGTGTCCCCCACCGTGATGTTGCTGGAATATTGCTAAAAGCGGCATAAAACCAAACTCACTCACTCCGGTCAAGCAATTCCTGAATTCAGGCAGTGTTCAAAAGATGACATGTACTGTATTTAATGCAGAAAAACATGCTTTTGTGTAATAAACCCAAACCAAACGGCATGTTTGATTGCAATACACAAAAAGTAACAGGACAGAATTGTTTATGTGGTATTAATTAAGATTCAATTGTTTGTGAAATAATTATGATTCAAAGATTGTTCCAATGAAGACATATGTTAGGTTTGGAATAAAAATGTCTGTCAAATTTTTTACCCTTTTGCTACTTTCTTTGAATAATTTTACGCGTTTCCATTGAAACTTTTTTTACCATAATTTATGACCTTTTATAGAGGGTGATTAACAGTCATTCTTCACCTTTCTGTGAAAATACTGCTGTAACAGTTTGATCAGAGCAGGTCATACAGGGAGTAAGGTAGAGCAAATGAAATGAATTATTGATTTGTGTTGCTATAAATGGAAGATATTTCTTGATGAAGTTACTGGGGAGGAAAGAATGTCGGTCCTTCCTTAGCTGATGAAGTATTGTTGCAAAGGATTTCTTACATTCTGTAGACCTGATTAAGATTTAGATGTACAATAATCTCTTGGCAAAGCCTCCAGTGAGCCAATAATATTTGCAGACGTATATGAATTAATATATGATGAGTATCAAATCTAACTATTTGAACTGTACCAGACATTGCAATATACTAACGTGACAAAACTACTTACATATTCACAAGAGATCTCTGTCAAAACTGGATCTGACTGTTGAATTTTGACCATATCATTAATTGTGTATAGAAATTACTATTAGATAAAGTTAAAAGTAAGGAAATCTATATCAAATCTTCACAAGGCAATTGAAATAATATTGAATTAATCCTAGTAAGTAGGACATTCATAAATGTTTTTAGGTTTGTAGAAAAGGGAGAATTTAGAAAAATCCATAATAATGAGCATGATATTAAGCTTTAGCTAATATGAACTTCATTGCATCAATTTCAAGCTAACTGAAAATGGTGAACCATGGACCAAGTATTCACAAGTCACCACACCTCCGTCAAGTAGGATGAAGGCATATCAAAAACGATCCATTATAGACAATGGCGAAATTGTCAGCAACAACAAACTTCGACATTCACGTAGAAAACATAGGCATAGAGACAGGAACTTGTACAGTAGACAGTTTCGGATGCTTGTATTTGGAGACAGGGATCCTGATGACAATTCTATGAAAAAGGACTGGGAAGTCGGAAAGTCACGGAATCAAAGAACCCATGGCCGAAAGGGTACAACCCCTGATTGGCGTCAAAGGGAACAAATTGCATCTAATGTCCCTGAAAGAGTCTTATCAGAAGAAGGAACCTGCCATTTTGAAGCAGGAGGAAGTTTTGTGGACATGGAAGGTCATCGTTTTCAGGAAGGGAGTGGCAGTGACACGCCTGAGATTGACGCTGAGGATTACTCAGATTATGATACAAGTACAGAAATCATTACAACTTTATTGCTGTCTGACCCACCATCTACAACTCCTGAAGAACCAGAAGAGGAGCCTGAGACTTCTAATGTTACCAAAGTTTTGGTATTCAAGTCTAAAGACAACGAAGTCCAAACACCATTATCAAAGAACCGAACTGAAGACACATCTCGCCACTTTGTTTGGACAAACAGAATGGCTGGGCTGTTGAGTACAATTGGACCAACGTCATCTTTAATGGTATTTTATCTTCATATCTGGGCATGAATTGGAGATTGAAGATGTTTTCTGGTATATAGAGTCTTTAGTTAGTATTTGGTCTTCAAATATTGGCCATTTTTTGTATATGAAGATTATCTTAAACGTTTTACATTATATTTGACATTTCATTATTTCTTCCCATCTTTTATTAATTCAAATGAATGGAAGGGGAATATATATGTATATATTGCCTGTGTGTATATGTAACTTGGCAAGAAAGCATGTAGGTGTACAAAAAGTTAACCTTTAGAATGCCGAAGAAAAGTACTCATGACATCCATAAAGGAACAATGAATGTAAAATTATGGATTGGATTAATTATTGACAATAATTGACATTTAAAATAAGTTAAAACTTGTTTTGTGTGGTATGCATCTTGCAGACTAAAGGTTAAGATGTAGTCTTTTTGTGGCTTTAGCTGCTTTGTTTTGTGAATTGATGCATGTGCAAAGCTGCAGAGTGATACTCATTTATTTACATTTTGAAACATTTTATGTATATGTATATCTATCTCAATTTTCCAAAGACAGCTTCTTGTATAAATGTTTATGAAAATGTATCAATTTGATTTTTATGACCAATGTTTAAGCTGTCATTAGGCATTTTTAAATATTTTTTTCTGTGATTTTTATGGAAATATCTGAGAGGAGGTACAATGGTATCAGTATAAACTGGACATTCTCATTTCATACAGTTTTCCGTACTTCTGAAAACATCTTTAGGTTCTGAACTATAAGTTATAAGCTTGTTGGAAATTAAGACAAACAGATGTTCATGCATACCAGCATTATTGCTTAAGTTTACTTTGAAATATACGCACATCAATCAGTGCAGCACTGTATTCATCACAAAACATTATTCTCTAAATCTTTATTGACTTAAAAGTCTGTTTGTATTTGTTTGAAATGGGTATGCCAATAGTTTTTGCTATGTAACCATGGTAACAGTTAGCAGTAAATATATTCATATACATACGAATGTACATTGTGGCACAATATTGGCATGCTAGTGTAATATGCATCTTCAAATAAACTTTTTTCAATTCTTAGTGTGTTAGTTTTTTTTCAGTCTGTGTACTATTTATTCATGGTTGGTGCTCTAGAACCTTTACTGTGAGTGTCTATGGTCTTGTCTTCATGGCACCTTATTTGAATATATGCACCACATGTGAATCAATAGTCATATTCACTTGCTAACTGTTGAATATATTTGTCTTACAGATCAGAGATTCTATACAAAATAGGATTTCTATAATAAAATGAGAAAATATGTCAAATCAATATACTTATTTGTGTTCAATGAAGGAAAGAAATTATACTGATAATATATTTGGAAGTTGTTATGAACATTTATGCCCATAAGTGATATGTTTTATATGATGTAAATGCAGTCCATACAAGTTAACTGATGAAAATATTACTAATATGCATATTGCGGGCACATGTGATAATTGTGATTACTGCACAAGTGATGACTATTTGACTTCATTCATTCAGATGTTCCCATTTGTTTTGTTCTTCAGCAAACGACACCAAAGCTTGGCGTGACAGATGACATAATATTTTCTGGATCAGGACCAGGCTGCCACAGTGATGACGAAGATGATTGCACCTCAGTTGGCTCTGGCACAGAGGACGACATCATCACTCCAACTATTATCATCAAAACTACACCAGCACCACCAACAACCAACGAAAAAGTAAGGTTCTCTCAGTTACTTGCCACCAACTGAGTCTGGAAATTCAATATGACAAGGGTCTCTTCTACATAATCAAATCTTCACCAGCTGATAAATGTGCACACGCTTGTTTAGTGGGGTGGATAAATACAGTTGTGTTCAATGGGTATTTGATTCAAAATACATCCCCCAGAATTACAACCTGGTTCCCAGGGTCTGCTGCACTAATGCTTCGAGACTGACACCGGCAATCACTACCAAGATAACGCCATATATTTACTGTAGAAAAATCCAAGAATGGTTGGTTAGAATTTTTCCTTAGCATTTTCATCGATACTGTGACAAAGTCTATGTCACAAGAACAAAGCCCATTGTTACTTTTAGAGCATGGAAACGTTATTCGAGACACAAAAGTCGTCTTTACATAGATGAAATATAAACAATAACACACAACCCATTTTCAACACCAACGTGCGTTGATATTTTGTGTCAGCTCACTATTGTCACGAAATCATACGCATAAAATTTGGATTTGGAAGACAATATTGATTGGATATAGTTAGCATATTTTTTTAACCAACTTGATGACAAATAATTTGATGATTGGCCCCATTTTCTCCTGTTGTATGCTGGAAATAAACTGAATGCCCAGTAATAGCAACTAGAAAATGATTGTTACCACATTATATAATTAATAATAAATAGATCTAAAACATTTCAAACACATAACTGATTAATTCAACCATGTATTTTTAACAATGTATGTGCTTTATACAATGGAATAATATTAAAGAAAAATACATATTTATTTTTTCTATTCATTTGGCATATATAATTTCAGTCAATATAACATCCATTCTATCATTATCTATTCTTCCATTTTGCTTCGGGTTGATCATGGTGATGCAATAGGCATTGATCTTAGAAAGTATAGCATTAGTCATGGTATGGCAACATCTGCATGATGCTACCGAGAAGTTCATAACACATCAAACCATTGGCTAGTTATCTACTGGATAAGTCGCATAACTGTTTATATATGTAGGACTCAGATCTGTGGCGGGTCTCTAATCTATGGCGGGTTTCCTAATCCGTGGCAGGTTTGATTGTTCGATTGTGTTACATGACGTCATTACGCGATGACGTCATAATCGCTAACCGTTCCCGTCGAAATTCGACACTAGCTGTTCGTGGCGATAGTAATTTCAGTTACATCTTCAATGCTAAGAAAATGGAAACCATAGAAAGTTAGTTTTGTAATTGCGGAGCCACCTACAAAGAAGAAGAAATCAAAAGATCCCAATGCAGAAACATTTTGGAACGACATGGAAAAAGTATGTGAGATTACAAAACTGAAAACGCTGAATCCGAAATGGGGAAGTGTAAAGATTTGCAAGATCCTCTCGTTTGCAGCCATGGAAAGATTATTAAAATGAAAGCAAACGTATTCGATAACACTTTCGAAGCTCTCTTAGTTCTATGATAGTCGTAAAACCATTGGCAAAATCGAAAGACGATCTTAGCGCTGACAGAGCTTCGAAAATCTAGGCCCAAGGGTATCAGTAAGTTAGAAACACATAAATGAAATGCCATTAACCCCTATTCTACTGAGCTGAAATATTCTAATGACGACGTGCAGGAAATCCGCCACAGATTAGGGTAGGTACGGCAACTAGCCATGGATTTGGAAACCCACCACGGATTTGAGGCCTGCCATGGATCCGAGTTCTACATATATAAAACTGAAAGTACCCAATTGCCCACCCCACTCCAACACCTGTAGCTACAGTTTTTTATGTAATAGGAAAACAGACACATTATGAAATATAAATAACTGTGTGTGTAAGTGTGTGTTTCAGCTTGTTCTGAAAGAGCCCACTCATAAAATGGAATGTGTGTGTTGTCCGAAACACACACGCTCCCAAGTGGGGCTTACCATTTGTTAAAGACATGTTTATTAAAACACAGTTATTAATATTTCATAATGTATCTGTTTTCCTATTACATAAAGAAACTGTAGCTATATATGGGGTTGGAGTGGGGTGGGTGTCGCCCGGCGGTGATGGCTGTCATTCGGTAGTGATTGCCAGGGTGAGTGTTGAAGCGTTAGCGCAGCAGACCTCAGGAACCAGGCTGCCAGAATTATTGCTGAGTAGATACAATATGTGTGCCAGTAAATTGTAATCAAGAGTTACTTTAAGACTACAGTATCTTTGTGCATCCTTAATAGAATTAAAGCATTAAAATATAAATATCAAATATACAATATAAGTGATATGAAAGGAGGAAATTATTTTGATTGGATATTTTTGCTGTTATTTTCACGCCACCTTCTGCAAACTTCTACAAGCCTATTAAACATATAGAACACAACACAAAGAATAGTCAGCCTCAATTTTCTGAATACACTGGGGCGGTGGGGTAGCCTAATGGTTAAAGTGTCCGCTCGTCATGCTGAAGACCTGGGTTCAATATGGGTACAAGGTGTGAAGCCCATTTCTGGTGTCCCCCCCACCATGATATTGCTGGAATATTGCTAAAAGCAGCGTAAAACCATACTCACTCACTCACTCACTCACTCGGAATTCACTGGTCAACGTAATGATGGACATTATTTGAATGAAATTACTGAAATAGGTGATGACATTAGGTGGTCGCTGAAAAGATGACTTTACATACCTTTCTAAGTATTACCCTAGTTTGGCTGTAAATGCCAGTAATGCAGGTTAAGTCCTGCAATATGTGGAAATCCAGTGTTAACTTACCACAAATCTTTTGTTTGATATGTCAGTTATGTGTGGAAGCATGTTAGTGTCACAGCAAATTTGTCATCAGTTGTAATCACATCTATAGAAGATACTTTCATCTTCGTATATGATAATACATGTATAATCTATTTGGGAGTAGGTATCATCTGCTATCTAATTATTGACTTTGGCAAGCAGATTGTCTTGAGTTTCACAACTCTTGTGTCTTTTGTATAACTTCTGGCTAAATTATCAATGACCAATTTAAAGGAGAAATTTATAGATGTCAACTTCTGTAACATGAGGATCATGATGTTTCAGAGTATATTCTTACTCCTTCATCAGAAGCTGGCGTCCATAAATGTTCCCTTTATGTATATCACGTTTAAATGCCATTCAATGACAATGACCAAATTGTTTGAATTTCAGCCTTGTTTTTTCATTGAGGTACTAAGCTTTGAATAAAATAATCTTCATTTTAATGCATCTCAGCTCTGTTAAATGAGTCTCTTTCTTACTGTTACTGATAGTTTGACATTTGAAATTATTTCAGTAAGTTGTAAAAAATACAGGAAAGACCAAACATTTAAATAGATCTTTTTGTGTATATCAAATGTTTGTATAGGCTATGTTTGTATAAGCTATATCCAACTAGTCACACGTCAATATCACAGTCTGAGTTGTAAGATCATCTGTGCACATGAATGTATCATCTACATAGATGTATCAACTATGTATAAAAGTATCTTAAACGAAGATGTAAGTATGAACTATTTACATAATCATATCTTAAACGAAGATGTAAGTATCGACTATGTAGATAAAAGTATCTTAAACGAAGATGTAAGTATGAACTATTTACATAATCATATCTTAAACGAAGATGTAAGTATCAACAATGTAGATAAAAGTATCTTAAACGAAGATGTAAGTAGAAACTATTTACATAATCATATCTTAAACGAAGATGTAAGTATCAACAATGTAGATAAAAGTATCTTAAACGAAGATGTAAGTAGAAACTATTTACATAATCATATCTTAAACGAAGATGTAAGTATCAACAATGTAGATAAAAGTATCTTAAACAAAGATGTAAGTATGAACTATTTACATAATCATATCTTAAACGAAGATGTAAGTATCAACTATGTAGATGTAATTATCTTCAAGATGTAATTATCAACTATGTAGATAAAAGTATCTTAAACGAAGATGTAAGTAGAAACTATTTACATAATCATATCTTAAACGAAGATGTAAGTATCAACAATGTAGATAAAAGTATCTTAAACAAAGATGTAAGTATGAACTATTTACATAATCATATCTTAAACGAAGATGTAAGTATCAACTATGTAGATAAAAGTATCTTAAACGAAGATGTAAGTATGAGCTATTTACATAAACATATCTTAAACGAAGATGTAAGTATCAACTATGTAGATGTAATTATCTTCAAGATGTAATTATCAACTATGTAGATAAAAGTATCTTAAACGAAGATGTAAGTATCAACTATTTACACAAACATATCTTAAACGAAGATGTAAGTATGAACTATTTACATAAACATATCTTAAACGAAGATGTAAGTATCAAGTATGTAGATAAAAGTATCTTAAACGAAGATGTAAGTATCAACTATGTAGATGGAATTACCTTAAAGATGTAATTATCAACTATGTAGATAAAAGTATCTTAAACGAAGATGTAAGTATCAACTATGTAGATAAAAGTATCTTAAACGAAGATGTAAGTATCAACTATGTAGATAAAAGTATCTTAAACGAAGATGTAAGTATCAACTATGTAGATAAAAGTATCTTAAACGAAGATGTAAGTATCAACTATGTAGTATCTTAAGATGGAATTATCTTAAACGAAGATGTAAGTATCAACTATGTAGATAAAAAGTATGTGAGATAAAAATCTTAAACAGAGATGTAAGTATCAACTATGTGTAGATCCAACGAGAAAGTATCTTAAACTTAAGATGTAAGTATCAACTATGTAGATAAAAGTATCTTAAACGAAGATGTAAGTATCAACTATGTAGATAAAAAAAGTATCTTAAACGAAGATGTAAGTAGAAACTATGTAGATAAAAGTATCTTAAACGAAGATGTAAGTATCAACTATGTAGATAAAAGTATCTTAAACAAAGATGTAAGTATCAACTATGTAGATAAAAGTATCTTAAACGAAGATGTATTAGTATCAACTATGTAGATAAAAGTATCTTAAACGAAGATGTAAGTATCAACTATGTAGATAAAAGTATCTTAAAACGAAGATGTAAGTATCAACTATGTAGATAAAAGTATCTTAAACGAAGATGTAATTATCAACTATGTAGATAAAAGTATCTTAAGTATCTAAGATGTAAGTATCAACTATTTACACAAACATATCTGAAACGAAGATGTAAGTATGAACTATTTACATAAACATATCTTAAACGAAGATGTAAGTATCAAGTATGTAGATAAAAGTATCTTAAACGAAGATGTAAGTATCAACTATGTAGATGGAATTACCTTAAAGATGTAATTATCAACTATGTAGATAAAAGTATCTTAAACGAAGATGTAAGTATCAACTATGAAGATAAAAGTATCTTAAACAAAGATGTAAGTATCAACTATGTAGATAAAAGTATCTTAAACGAAGATGTAAGTATCAACTATGTAGATAAAAGTATCTTAAACGAAGATGTAAGTATCAACTATGTAGATGGAATTATCTTAAACGAAGATGTAAGTATCAACTATGTAGATAAAAGTATCTTAAACGAAGATGTAAGTATCAACTATGTAGATGGAATTATCTTAAACGAAGATGTAAGTATCAACTATGTAGATAAAAGTATCTTAAACGAAGATGTAAGTATGAACTATTTACATAAACATATCTTAAACGAAGATGTAAGTATGAACTATTTACATAAACATATCTTAAACGAAGATGTAAGTATCAACTATGTAGATAAAAGTATCTTAAAGATGTAAGTATCAACTATGTAGATGGAATTATCTTAATGATGTAATTATCAACTATGTAGATAAAAGTATCTTAAACGAAGATGTAAGTATCAAGTATGTAGATAAAAGTATCTTAAACGAAGATGTAAGTATCAACTATGTAGATAAAAGTATCTTAAACGAAGATGTAAGTATGAACTATGTAGATGAAAGTATCTTGAAAATGGATCTATCTTGTTTAAAATGTCACCATCATTTATGTTGGTGTTAACTTGTTACAGCTTGTTGCTCTAATGTGCAGTTATAATATCTATTTTGTGTAGATGTGTAGAATATATGGAAATCCATTGGTAACTTACTGAAACCTTTAATTGATATATCAGAATAAATATCCACTTACCTTCCTCTTCAGACCAACTTGGAAAACACCATGCGTTGGGTCCAAATGTCCAAGACCACGGACAGAAGAGGTTATGAGTTCAACGTCCAACCGGGGAACAAGCCTAGACCCTGAGGGTAATGATGGTGGCAACACAGGCCTTCATCCAACAGGGGAGACAAGCGGGGGCTCAGTAGCCAACAATGGAGGTGGTACTCCTGTCAACATCGGTCTCATCATTGGAATAGCAGCAGGAGTTCTGGTTGCTATTCTCATATTAATATTTGCACTGTACAAATTTCGGAGTCGAGACGAAGGAACATACAAAGTGGATGAAAGTCAGAACTTTTCCTATCTGGAATCTAAAAAGCAACAAGGCAATGGAGCTTTGTTAGGTAAAGGAGAAGAGACTGGCAAAAGAGGGAAGAAGAAGGATGTTAAAGAATGGTATGTCTGAGAGGAGAATCAGTCCCAGTTCCTTGCCAACATTCTTGGAGTGGTAAAGAATGTCATAAGTTGTGATAAGAAGGATGATGTCATAAAAATGACTTGTCCCAGTTTTATCAGACTGTTCTTATGTTGGTAGTAGAATCGTTCAAGGAAGGATTGACTGATGGTTGACGAGTTCACTTCTCATGCAAAACTAACAAATTGTAAGACAAGAACTTCATCTACAAATTGAGTGTGAGATACTCAGATTTGTAGTCATGAAGATTGCTTCTTGGAGAAAATTGAAGGAAACAGTGCGAGTGGATTAATTCAGTTATGATTGCACCTAATGGAACGAAACAGCTCCATTGCAAAAACTGACCATAATCTGATATATCATTATGTGGGCATATGTGTTCATACTACTTACAAGATACAGATAATTGCTCACATGTATATCAAAGTGCATTGCTTGTGAATAGGAATGAAGGTGGACATGTTCAGTGTTGAAGGAGGAAGGGATGTGCATGACTGGTGAGAGGACTCCGGCTGGCAAGTTTAGGGAGCAGTTGTCTCCCTTGTTGTATCCTGACAATTCCTCCATGCCATACATGTTGATTGCAAATGTGATCCGAAAAATGAGTGAACGCGGTGCTGAGGTCTTGACCTTCAGGTCATAAACATGACCTATCCTTGTAGACTCGTTAACTAATCCAAATCTGCTGTGAGGTGCATCAGTGTACTTGAGAGATTTATGGAAATTTATCTACCTTAATTTGATTATTGTAAAAACACTCTTGGTTGTTACATTGAAAACATATTCAAATCTCTCTTGCTGTATCGTCTTGTCACTGCGTTAAGGTGTTATACTAGTTTTGATTTACCATATAAGTTATTCTGTTAACTATCAGGTATAAAGCATTAAATTCTTTTATAAGGAGATTAGGAAACTAGTTTTACTTTCAGTATATTACAAATACCTTTGTATGCAGCTATACAATATTTTTTGTCTGAAGTTGTAACAACCTTGAGGTGTTTTGCTATAATCTATTCTCAGGTACTCTCAAGGAAATATTCATATTAACAAAGGATGCAAAAACATTTTGCATTATAGATATCCCATAACACCTTATAGGCAAGAATATTGACTATTGCACTTATCTAATTAACAAGTTTTGTTGAATTTTGTTTTTGTTTGATGTTAGTGGTTGATACTACGTGTACTGAGAACATCCATAAAGTGCTCTGGAGTTCAGTTATATTTTCTGTTTTGATGACAGAACACTAATTGGGAACAAATGATGAAAATATTGACTATACTAATGTAACCTTCAAATGTCATATTATTCTTTTGTTTCAACTAAATCAAAATATTTGTTTAATATTATGTTCTACACAATGTTTTTTATATGATCAGTTCTTGAATTTCCTCTTTTTTTCTGCATTTACATAATTTTATTGCATGACTTGCTGACATTTTAGATACTACATTATAAACAACCAAGTGAAGGGTGTTATATTCTGTCTCCTTATTAGGATATTAAGTATTGGGTCCTTGTTCAAATCATCAATAGAATGATTGTACAATTACCTCAGATATGGATCTACTTTATGTCTTAAGGAAGCAATATTGTAGGTACAGCAAATTAAGATTGTTATTGTAAACGTCATATTTCAGAGACCATATTATTAGATGATCATCTAATTGTTTTATAAAGTATTTAAAACAGTTAAAATATTATTACATTTTGTTGTATTATTGAAACTAACATTCACAAATTTAAGCAACTGTAATACAAACCTTGCATAATTTTTGTGTGAGAGCTTTAAAAAGTTGTGAATTTATTTTCATAATGTGTATTCAATCATTTACTCTTGAGTGATACTGAATAATATTCCATTTTTCTGACAATACCAATGCATTCCAAAATGATATTAGTCTTTTGATAAAGAATATGTCTGATATTGTTTCCAAAGAATTGAAATGAACAACGTAATACAGTGTTTGATGGTTTTAACCACCTTTATAATTATTTTCAAGGAATCTTTCTTTGATGGATATCTTATCAGACACGTAAACTGAGGTTTTTATTGTTGCAAAGAGTAAATTTCAACAATCCATTTCGAACAAATCAACAATATATTTTCAGGATTTAATACCAATTAATAATATTCAATTTCAATCAGTTCTTTAAAATGTTTATTACTAGTTGTGATTTTACAGTGATGAATGCGCCATTCAAAACTGACTGTTTAACAGTATTTGTAAATATCAATATCACAATTTTTGTCCTTTCATAAACCTCTTTGTCTGATTCCAGTTGTTCCACATTACGTTAGCAGAATGATCTGTAAAATAAAAGCATGTGAACATTGTAGATATGTATGTTTTTTGAAGATGTGAATGTGTTCATGTGCTTTCTCGTCTTCATTGTTGCAGCTGTATGCTTGTATAATACAAGTCACTGTTAGATATATGAGTGTATGAATGCTGGAGCTGTCTCCATGTCCTTTCAAAGCTATATCTATTTCCTAGTTATTATCTTTGGCTTCGTAAGACTAAATAAAACTTGTCATTTGTAGTTAGGATTATTTCAATTTAATGCCTTGTAATGTCATTGTTAAAGAATACTTTACTGAATATTGCTAAAACACTTTCTGCAGGTATATAGGGACATCCTATATGATAGTGACTTTTAAAATTTCCCCAAATGGTTTCTATGTATGTCTTTAATACCTGATGTGTGTCATGATTTCACAGAGGATTGACTTAATACCAGTATATCATCTGCTAACAATGACCTGTTATTGGTTGTTTAAATAAAACTAAGATATATGAGTATGGTATATATAGTCATGATTCTCCGACTTCAGTTATACCATTGATACACCCCTTCATGACAGCATTGCATTTCTGTTTTGACATTAGGCATGAAATTTCTTTCTTGGTAGCACTCTTCACTCTTTCAAAAAAGACTGTCTGCCTGAACTAATATTTTATAAGCCTGATAATTAATAATCTACATAAGTGGGACTAACAGAGTCAACATTGTATACATGGTGATATTGAGCGGGTCAAATTAACAACTTGTATCCAACATCAAGACAATGAAACAATTATGTTAATTGCGGTAAATAAAAAGAATACTCATGAAATAACATTTGTGGTAAATTAACAAAACCTTTGTATGACTAGTAATGTCAATAGGCAACTAAACTGGTATACATCTAGCCGGATTACATTTAAATGACAAAAATTGTGTACAGTATCAGTTCTCAATGTAACTAGAACATTTTACATTGTATATTGTGTTTTGTATTATACATATACAGTTGAAATAAACGTTTTTGTAAATAAGCAACCCTGCATGCATTATTGTTTGTGTATAGGGCAGTGGCATTGCTGCTTTATATGACATCTTCAGCTTGTGGGAAGGCCAGTTCAGAACAAATGTTGAAAAATGTTCCAAATTATGCGTCTTATTTCCAGACTACTGAGGTAGTGATTGCTATTAATCCCTATGTATAGTCACAGGCAAATTGTAGCGCACTTTGAGTTGGGAAACAAAGAGAAAATGACAGTCTTTCCATATGCGAGTGAAGCGAGCAAAGGTTGGCAACGTGCTTCCCTCGACGGAAGCTGGCAGGGGTAATGGAGGCGAAGAACAATTTGACATGCCACAATTTGCGCTTGAAATGTTGAATTAAATATATTGTACACAAGTAATTATTAAATATGAGGTTGGAAATCTGAGAACACAACTCTGTGAGGAAATGAGTGTATACCTTTGATGATGGCGATATTTTATTTTGATTTTAAAAATATTTTTCGAACCAAAGCGAGGGAAGCACGTTGCCAACCTTTGCTTGCATATGGGAAGACTGGTCATTTTCTCTTTGTTGCGCAACCCTATTTGAGCTACAATTTGCCTGTGGTATAGTGTAATAAAGTATTCTTTTGCCCTGAACTATTATAGTTAAAGTATGAGGACGCTTGCATTGGTTACCAAGGCTACGTTAGTGAGGGGGCAGATGAGAATGGCGTAGTGACATCAATAGTGTGACGTCAATAGTGTGACGTCATGCAAAAAAGTGCACTTTATCGGCTGATAAAGTACTGGTACTGTCTGTACCTTTGATCTTTCAGCAAAGCATCTTAGAATTATGAATAATGAATATACATTATTTGTGGTTTACGTTCTCTGTGTATAAGTTACATCCGTGATGTGATAGCTGCAGAATTGGCACGTGATAAAGGTGATTTCTGCTTGTGGTGTTCAATGTAAGCATGTCTTGCTGAGAACTGATTTTTATGATGACACAGAAAGAAACTTGCAAGAATTCAAAATTTCCAGTGGCACGGTAATACATTTTGTGCCAAACATTGTTTGTGATTTGTTCCCAAAACATGACACAAAATTTAAAGGGAGTTTCTCTTATTATGTCCAACAATGACCTGGCCTCCCTTTCAAAGAATGACTAAGTAAAATTCATGTACCCTACCAGTGCCATGTTGCTACACCAGAGTTGTAAACATCTACGACCTTGGGTTTTCTGCCCACATCAAACTGACAAGCTGTGTTTTTTTGTTCAGCACAAGTTGTATTTGTGGTAAATGTAAATAGCTGGTATTACACTTTCCTATAGATTATATTATTACCCACCATGAAATAGTGCAGGGGATATAGGAAGAGAGTTCATATTTCCTTCCATCTTTCTGTCCATCCATCCATCCATCATCTGCTTCTCAGTGGTGGCAAGGTCTATTCATTTTACAAACAGATGTATCACGCCTTGCATACACAGTTACTGCCTTTGATCAATGTTACTTTACACAATTCATGGTGTCAGAATGGGAACAATTATTCTCAAAATATGATGAAGTTACTCAAGACAGATACAAAAAAAACCATTGGTGGCACAAGTGTTGTTTTCTAGAGATGGGGGCCAGTTGTGGGATTTATTTCACTAAGATATTTATTTCTGATGACATAAATCAATACAGGTGGCTATCTCTTTTTAATGCTTTATGACTTTTTTTTATATACACATGGCAAAAAGTATTGCAACACCTATGATTTTTAACCCCCATAGGCATTTATATTCAATTCATAATTATGTTTGTATGATTATTTTGACCCTTCTGGCACACCATACATTTATTTTAGATATACTGTATATTACCGTCTATAAGCCGAATTTTGAGGATTAAAAAAAAGCAGTCTGTAGAAGGGGGTCGGCTTAAGTATGAGTTACGCTATGGGGTCGGCTTATAGAAGGTAATATACGGTACACATGCTATGATCAGTATCTGTCATTAAGCAAATATCAACTTTACTGGTAAACTGTTCTTACACAGCTTGGTAAGGTTCAATTAGGGAACTTTTTACAGTAATATTCGCATCCTCACAAACACAACATAACACCATAAACCAGCAATAGGTGGTATGGTTGTATTTATAACAGTACTGATACATATGTTGTCTAAACATAGGTTCTTTACTGACCACTGGACCAGGTATTACTTCTATTTAATTTGATGTAAGTCTGCCTGTACAACACATAAATAGTAAGAATTCCTGCACAACAGGGATAATGTCAAGAATGCATCAACTTCCTTTACAAACATGATGAGTGAAGAAGGTTTTACACCTCTTTTAGCTAAAATTCAGCAATATCATTGTTGGGGACAGAATTGGGCTTCACACATTGTATCTATGTGGGGAATCAAACTCGGATCTTTGGCATGACGAATAACACTTCAATCACTAGACTACCCCACCATCCCTTTAAGATGAAGATGAATTAATGAGGATAGCTTTGCAGCTGGTCTCTTTTGACTACATATTTCTTTTCAACAGTTACGCCAGACTTTGCCAACTGATTTCCTGGTCTATAGTTGATAAGATAACAAACTGAATGGACATTAAGTAATATGTTCCTGGATCCGGTTGTATCATTGCCTCATTAACTAATGTCAACATTAAACCCTAATGATACATTAAATCCATAATGCATCATTAGTTAATGGCAACATTAAAAACGGTTGTATCAAACACTTATTAGCGTATCATTATCTAATGACGTCCAAATGTAAATATTTTCATTAAATTCGGGGATTCCCCTAAATATTTCCCACAATTCCGCGACGTAAACATTACACTCGGTCGTCCGTCAAAATGGCATCTTTACAGCTAAACCACGGAACAAAAACAAACATTTCGACTGCTGTGAAGAAACACATCTAAATAATTCTGAAACGTCTCCGATAAACCTAGAATCGGTTGGGATGTTTTGGAAAATGCACGAACACGAATGCCGAAGTGAGCTTTCCGCCATATTGGATAGTGTTTACAAAATCAAGTTTCGCTAAGGCCAGTCATATGACGCCTATTACATAACGTATATTTCATATTCAGTTGTGACAAATGCATCGCTGAATTCCTCATACATTTTAGAATCAACTTACAAATGGTCTTTGTCACTAAAACCAAGTGTCTAGAAAAAATCTGAAACATTGGGCGTGAAAACGGAGTGTTGTGCTCATAACACAGCGCTTGCTAGAAAAGTTAACAAAACGAAAATCAGATTTTATACTGGGAAGCATTTTCTCAAGTTTTTAGACATCAGTTTGTCTATTGGTAGCATGCATGAGCACAATACTTTTAGATTATGCACGGAAAGAGTATTGTGGCAAGAACTAGAAAATTAAAAACAGATACAATACAGAAATTTGATATATTCATTCGAAAGTTCTGTGCAGCGTGTGACGCCATGCCAGATGCAAAATCATGAAAAACGACAGGCAATTATTGGCATTTCTGACTTTTTCAATGAAAACAATAACAACAAATAACCATACGCAGATAGTCAGAATGTTTCCGATTACTTACATCATACATTTATGGACAAAGGTTCCCTCGCAAAATCGTGGGCACCCATATCCACAAAGCCGCCATTTCATGAGAAATCGGTCATGATGTCATACATCAACATTGTTGAACATATTTGGCAATTTCTTTGAGGTGAAGGTCGGTTGAATAAGATTTAAACACCATCACACTGTCCTGCGGATTACAGTTTTAGTATTAATGTATCCTTTGCGTTTCATTCACATATGGTTTCATGAAACTAATTTCATTATCAACATTAAGTAAAACTGACTGATGATTTATTCATTTCATGAAATGTATATATGCACACGTTTTTAAAGGATATATACACTCATGTGCCAGATTAATGTTCACAAAATGACTGCTGTGATTATTGCCAGCAGTAGCTGGTCCTTTAAAATGAAAGTTTATTTCATCTTAGCAATAGTTATAGGGTATGAAATTTTAGGGGGTACAAATTTGACTTAACAGCTGTTACATTTTGTAAACAAAAGGGGAATAAATCTCAAGTGCTTAGTATGATTCTGCTAAAAGTGTCATGGCACTTAGAGGCAAAGATCTTACTGCCTATCAGAAAAAGCTCATATTAAGTTTGAATTCAGAAGGCAAGAGTGGAAGTGAAATAGGTAAAATAACTGGAATTAATAGGTTTACTGTCTGTAAATTTCTGAAGAGGTTTTCTCAAGGAGGAAATACAGAAAATAGTCAGAAGTGGCTGGAGAAGAAAATCAACTGACAGAGATACTAGAGCTTTATTGAAGATTGTTAAGTGTAATAGGAGGAAGTCTCTTCAGGATATAGCTTCACTTTGGTACCAGACATCTCAAGTAAGACTATCCAAGAGGACAATAGAAAGGCGTCTTCATGAAAATGGTTTTCATAGAAGAGTTGTGAAGAAAAAACTACCATATCCTCTCAAAACAGGTTCAAGAGAAGAGCCTTTGCCAGAACACATTTGAGATGGAATGTAAATAGAGATTGGTCTAGGGTAATATTTTCAGATGAGACTCAAGTTGTTGTAGGAAAAGATCAGAAAGTTTATGTTTGGAGGACAAATGAAGAAAAGTGGAAACCCAGGTGCCTTGGTGTGTATAGGGATAAAAATGCCCCACGTGTCAATGTGATGTTCTGGGGGTGTATTTGTTTTGAAGGCATTGGAACCCTTGTCGATGTAGATGGTCATATCAACTCTACAAAGTATATAGATATACTGGACAGCAACCTTTGGCTAGTAATAGCCAAAGTTCCAGCATATCGGGGCCATATATTTCAAGAGGACAATTGTCCTGTCCATGTTTCTAGACAGACAATTCAGTGGAAACGTGACAATGACATTCAGACAATGAATTGGCCTCCTCAGTCCCCAGACTGTAATATCATTGAAAATGTATGGAGAACTCTGAAAATCAGGCTACTAAGACAGTTACATGGCAAGCAGGATCTGATAGATCACGTTCAAGTTATCTGGACATCACTTACTCCTGAGTACATAAAATCACTGTATTCTACTCTACCTAAGCGAATGAGGGCTGTACTTGCAGTAAATGGCTGTATTACTAAATACTGCAAAATATCAGGTAAGTGGCTTCAGGCATTATTTTGAAATCAAGCATTATTTACACCCCATCACAGTTAGCGAAATTTACATGGCAGCCATTTTGTGAACTTTAATATGGCACATGATTATACAAAACAATGGTGTATAATCATTGTCCAGGTGCGCGTTTGTCACAAATGTTTTGAGTATCATTGTTTTCGATAATAGTGGAACAAAACATCACGAAAATATAGTGTCCTTATTCACAGCAAATTCTCTCCAAGTGATATGAGTTACAATGACGTAGAATTAAGCATAGCGGAGTGATGCCCCCTTATCTTTATAAGTGTATGACCTTTTTGTAGCCATTTGACGTCATAGGGGAAAATCCATTTTCAACACATATTGCGAGTCATTTTGACGATTAAGTGTATAACGTTATACATAAGCACACAAACTAATTTAATACATACCTATGTCGTTCAGGTATCAGGCAGAATTTTGTTCGCTCACACTTTCCGTAAAGATGCCAAATTGAAAATATAGCAGCACAGTACTTTTATCAGTGCACGATAAAAAGCAGACAAATTTACTGTTTTTAAAGCATACCAAAATTAGGGGTAACATTTAGCAGTGTCTACTTTTCAAACTGAGTTTATACCATGAGATGGGACATTTAATACTCTACATTTCTGTGTAATTTTATAGCTGTAGGTAGATCCAGTGCTGCGCAAACGAAATTCTGGCGCAATGTTCACTTTTCCAGGAAGTTTAATGACGCTCTAAAGATACCCCAGGACCTTCAATAAGTTAATGACATGCTAATGACAAAACGTCATTAAAACGTTAGTACAACAGAATTTAATGGCACATTACTTAATGAACATTTAATGTCACGTTAATGCTTCATTAAAGTTTCATACAACCAGGTCCTGTTCTTCAAAGAGGTGAGGTGAAATTGGGTTTTACGTCATGCTTGAGAATATTTCGCTCATATGACGACGTGCGTGTGTATGTGTATGTGCGGCTGCTTGTACTAGTCCAGACTTAAGCTGGTTTTATAGTGCTAGCCCACTGAGATACCATGCCGCAGTGAAGCATGAATACCCCACTCAGACACATTATACTGACTCCGAGTCGACCAGTCCTTGTTGTACCCATTTATGCAGAGCGCCAGGCAGGGACCAACAAGTACCATATTTTAACGTCTTTTGGTATGACGCGGTCGGGGATTGAACCCGCGACCTTCCGCTCTCCCGGGCAGACGCTCTAACCACTACACCACGGAGGCGGTCTTGTTCTTCACAGAGTTAACTGACTATGTTATCATGTGTGCTGTGTTAATTTCAAATAGCTCTTCATCCCCAAGGGTTTGCTGAATTCTCAAAACCAACGAACTAAATCTTGCATTAGTGAATGTCACTTATGGTTATTCCAACAATAATCAACAACATGGGAATTATGCATTCATGGTATTTATTTTACATAAAACACATAAGTTAGTAAGACAGCCTGCTTTATACAATTTCCAAAATGCAGACACCATACAATTAAAATATACATGTCATCACACACAACATCCAAACTTTTTAGCTGACATTAAAGAACAGCTCATCCCATATTAATGATTTGAATGATACTCATGATGCAGAATGAGTATATCTAGACACCGTGTACAAATGGCAATCTTGCTGTCATAATCGACTAGTCAATATTTACATGATACATATATCCATACAAGATCACAGTTGGTTTGTGTAATGTCACTCTCAACTAAAACAAGTCTGAAGTTTCTAAAATGTTTTCAATAACATAACATTCTAAGTCAGTAATCATATTTTTCTTCTCTTTTACTCTATTGTAAAATGTAAAGATGAACTACGTCATTGGTGCTCAAATGCATGTTATCACCAAGTACATATCAACATTGAATGCATATAAAACACTGAACTGTCATTACAAATATATCATAAAATGAGAAAAAATCATTGGAGGTGTTAATGATCATATTGTTTAAAGGCACTATATGCAATCATAATTTAGGCAGGAGAAAGAAGGATCTATCCATTGAGAGAAAATGGCAATCACCTCAAATGAACAAAGCCGCACACATATCGCCATGCATTGATTCTTCTTATGAACATACATGTCATATATCACAAATTACAAGTCATGTATCACAAATTACAAGTCATCTTCGACTACTAAAAAATAATTACAAATCTATTTTTGTTTACGTAAATAGTCAAACATGTACAAATTCATGACTTCACACATTTCTTACAAATAGGCTGCAGCAATTATTCAGTCCACAGATAACTTCACTTGATAATTAATATTCATGAAAGAATCCACAAGCAGGCTTATTGCCATGGGCAAGATCCATCCTGATTTGCCATCGAAGGGTCTGTCTCTTCTTCTCTGTGGGTACCACATACTTATTGGCAACAAACACTCTTTGTGGCCTCTGAAAAATAATTCAGAAAATTGTTGAAAAGGGCTTAATTACTGGCACACTCAATACACACACAATAACTTTCAGTTACTTCTTCAAAAGTTAATATTTTCCATTTAAAAAACACAAAATGTGACTATAATTCCATTTGCTAAGTTTTTACCAACAATGACAACAACATACCACACAGATCATAGCACAGATCTTTGTACATTAGATTTCAGAACTTTTATACTCAAAGCAGTATTAGGTCATAACCAACAATCTAAAAGAACATATTTAACTTTCTGCCGACATACATTAGACAAGCCGAGTCATTGAGGATGAATATTTGACATACTGAATGATGTAGCCCTACTGACCTTCTCAATGGTTTCATGCACCAGCATCTGTTCCCGAATGTTCCAACGGAGCCCCTTGTGCCCCTTCTCCCCCGGGGGCCTTCTGCGTCTGCCAGGCCTGCTGGAACTGTTGGTACCGCGCCACTGGGTCTGACTTCCGGATATTGCGTGTGTGTGGATGATCAGCCGTTCGAAGGATCACTTGAGGTAAACATAACAAATTTTTTTCAGACCATGCAAGACAGCAGACTGATGCTTTTAGGTCTGTCTGCAACACACCCATGCTCGTGGGTTTCAACAAAGCGGTAAATATCTGAGATCTGCATCTCAATGGACCTTTCTCCCACATTAAACTGATGCACCATGATATAACTGTTCAAAATGGTGTTAAACCAATCTCACTGTCACTCGCAGGCTTTAAGAGATGTGTACTTTGATACTCACCAGAGGCAGGCCGTGGATCATCAGGAGATAGTCTATATGGGGCCTACAGATGAATGACAGAAAGAATAAGTTTCAAAACAATTAGAAATGGATGGAATTTTATCATGTTTATAAAGAGATCAATAACAAAGAAATCATCAATTAGGAATTCAAATTCAAATTAAATTATCATGACATTTCAATGTTATTGATACTTCAGAACCAGTCAATACAGCATATTCTTCAGATGAACAAGCTTGCCAAAATTCATATTAAGATGATAATGTAATACAACCTATCTTCTGGGATACTCACATCTGCAGGAGCTGAATGCGGTCGTCGGATTAAGGCAATATCATCCGAATCTCGTAAGGCTAGTCGCTGTAGTCGTTCATTGGCATCAATGATACTTCCTTCAAATACATATAAGTAAATATTTATTAAGTCTGATAATGACAACTGACTTCACAAAATTGATGAAAGGGAGATAACCCCATTATGCTATACAAACCACACTACAATTGCAGCAAATAGATCATGAACTACAATTGAGATATCTATACATTTCTTCGCATTTCTATTATCATTATAATGTCTATGACAATGTTAAACAGTTTCCTTTATCGTCATAATTTAAATTATAACGCAATATGCTGCAGACATGCATACTGACTGCCACCACATACCAGCATCACTTTCTGTCATGGATTCATCAATAAACTTTGAGCCTTTGTCATTTTTCCTGCAAAATAAATCAGAGAAATTGAGTGACCTCAAGTTGAACAGAGCAAGAAGCATGTACATGCCTTGTGAGTGAATTGTACGCTGCTTCTGGACATTTTCCAGATTTATTAAGGTATTACACCACTGTAGGCAATCATCTTTTATCAAAGAACATTTCTCTTGGTGGTGTAAATGGTAATCCATGAATGCTGAACTTTTACTGACAAATGAACAATTTCTGTTTGTTGATAATTCACTACACTTTCACCATTGCCCGCTATCATGACAATGTACACAAGTTTTGAGCATCCACGTTTTGCTGAAAAAAACCTGATTGTATTATGATGGTTCAGACCAAGAAAGCCATATATACAGCACAATAACACTTGGGCCTCAAACTTACATGAGTCATTGACGTAAAGTACATGTTACACATATGATTACTGTGAGTTTGAAAGTGAAATTAGCAAAGCTACCTTAATGTTTTCCTCTTCACCATCCTTCGTTCTGAGTCAGTCTCTGATACATCATCCCTGAACGTGTCATCACGGCCTTTTGTGGAGTGAACAGTCACTGGCCTCTTCAAGATTGGCTCCACTCCATAATTATTCTCCTTTCCAATCCCTCTCTAAAATACACAGTTGAAGTGATTATGGATATTAACTGGATAAATACATAAGGTATTGTACATCAGGATGTTAGCAGTAGTTTATTGATATCATTTATGAAAACCTTTTAAGGTAAAACATACTTCATGATGATGAATACATTACCAATTGTTTGTAATTATACGCTGCAGCCAGCTATATCATGGTGGCATTGACCAAACTAGGGATTAAATATATAGGAGCAATGTCCTACACATTCAGGTAATAGTGACATGCAATCAACTGAGTAACAATCCCTGACCATCTTATCCACTTCAATACATCTTACTAGAAGCATAAGTTACTGAAGACTTATTATATTCAAAGTTTCCCATACTGTATTACATACCCTTCTCCAATAAGTACTCTCTTACCAACTTCTACACCAACCTGTAGGTAATCTTTGTAAATGTCCTCTACTAAGACTGAAAATTTACTTGAAAGTCCTTACTTTCCTGTGGACATTACAGGGTCTTTCTAGAGAAAACAGCAATGTTGAAGGTGCACATGTACTGCCCTTGAAACTATTGTCAAAACATTTTATTGATTAAGCTGATGCTTGGCCTCAGTTTGTCCATCATTGCTAGATCTCTGAAAACAAATTTAACTCTTGTATGTCCCCTATGTCCATTTTAAGCACATTGAGTGCTTTTTATGACAATTCTTCAAATTTTCAATTTTTATGATTTCAAAATACTAACATGTGAATACACGTGTGTTCTGTGGTCGAGGTAACCCTGGTCAGAAACTTCCTCTAGTGGGATTCTCTCTCGTCTCACACTTCCATGTGCTGAAAATAAGAAAAACTGTGGTTGAAGTGATCATCTTACACTTAGAGAATGTGTGTGTTGGGTTTGACTTGGAAGAGTGTTTCTGTTATTTCATGGTGTTAGCCCTTGATGCATAGCAACAAACTCTTACAAATATTTACCACTTTGGTAAAACCAAGAACACAGCTATGGAGACAATAACACAGCTAGAAACATTCATCAGAACAAATCATGCTTTAAACTCTTGACACTGCACAATCAGAAACATACAATCAACATTGTCAACCAGTCAACAATGTCCAAGTCTAGTGCTGCTTCATCATTTCCCTTTCTACATGTTCAGTTGTATTTTTTTTTCCATTCACACCTTTGTAATCAAAGCAATACTGCTCATCATGATTATTTTTAGCTGGGACAACTATATATCTTCTTTGATGATCTTGAGAATCAAAATGTTACCCTGACAATAACAGTTCAAGTGAACAGGTGAAGTTACAGGCATCAACAATAAAATGTTGGCAAATTGGTATTGTGATCTTTATCCAAGGTAACAAAACTTCTTGTGGTTATTATCGTCATGTTACCTGAAGATGCTGATGTGTCAACAGCATCGGCACCTGGGTGTGATGAGCCACTAGTGTTGAAGGATGAGTTCTTGCTGCGCTCTTGTCGGATTAACCTTTGGAGGTCTGAAATATAATCATGATAATGATTATGGTAATAACTGGTAATATTATATGAATGAATTTCTCTAGAGACAAATGGCTAAAGGACATTTTTACAATATATCAGCTTTAGAAGGGTTGTTCTCCTTTATTATTACCAATCTTCAGAAACATCTTCAATTTGTTTTGGATCATCATCAACAAATAATATAATCAACAAATGCCGAAACAAAATCAAATCTGAAACAGAGTAATTATGGAGTGTTATAAAAAGGAATAAACAAGTTGGCAAACGATCCACACTTCCGTAGAAATATTGTCAACATATCAATATGCAAATGTCAACTGGAGATTTACAATATTTACACCGTGGTACACAGACACCTGTCTCTTATACACAGGCAGAACTGGCGAAAGCTTTTTGACTGAGCTGTAGCAAATTCCATTATCCCATGCTGGTTTCTTTTTCTGAAGTCCCAGTCGAGCTACCCTAATGCAACGCAACACATCTATGTAGTTACCATAGAAATCTCTATAACAATAACATATGATCAAAAGAAAATAATATTCCACGCATTGTGCATTAAACTCAAAGACATGTTCTTCATGTATAACGTACCTTTCTTGAACTCTCGTAATTTTTCTTCGGGAACATTTCTGTAACCTAGTCGTGCAAGTTCCTCTTGTATTTCTTCCTCCGAAAACTCAATGCTTTGGGAGTCCATTATTATCTACTGGAAATACATACAAGACACGCGGTCATTAACACTTCCTACTGGCGTTCTTCTTTGAAACAAATTAATGCCTACCTGCTTGATAGTCAAGCTAGTCTGCTCATTTATTTACCAACAATATAACACACATTCACAAACAGAATAATTCCACACTTGCACAGGACGAGCAAGTCCAAACATGATGCGCCGTGTCTGCAACATGTACATACGGAGCTATTTACCAATCTCCATTCTAAAAAAAGAAATAGACAAATGAAAATGTCCATCTAAGACACATAAATAAAATACCTAAAGAGTCAAATAACGCAGGAAAAAGCTAAGAGATGTCTATATTTTGACGAGGAAATGTGCCTATCGTCACGGTTTAGGAGAAATTTGCCGCCATGATGTAAACATCGCCGGGCAATGAAATACGACCACTGATTGGGTTATACGCTAACACATAAACCAATGAAATATCGTTTCACTCAAACTTGTTTACTAGGGGAGATAATCCCTTTGTATTTGATCAGAAAACCGCTAAATGTTTGTCGCATCCTCTGTAACGACAACAAATTAATATGTTCCAGAAGAACACTTAACAAAATTACCGTCACGCAATAGGCCTTTTTATGTTGATATGAATAAAACTCTCCAAACTATGTTCATTGAACATCGATACATGTTTATACCCACACAATATAGGGTACTTGAAGAACATTGTCGTTAAGATCGTCCTTTAATGACACTATCAGTGTGCGAAATAGCCACTTGCCCGCTAGCCCGTGGCTAGTAAAAATCCAGTCGGGACAGTAGATCTCCACAGTCACTGGCCCGACTGGCTTTTCATGGTGTCATTTTGTAAATATATGACTCTCTCCGACTTGTTAAATTAAAATACACTTTTAAATCATGCAGAATTATGTCCTGATAAAAATGTTCATCATATTAGCAGCTTAACGATGAAGCATATTTTCATCTATTGTTGTAATCTTTTGCTTAGTTTCTACATTCATATTTCGGACGAGTGAATGTTTTTGTGGGCTAGTAAGTTTCAGGCATAGTTAGCCCGACTGGCTACAGAATTTGGAAACTAATCGCACACTGGACACTATTACGTGGTTATAATAGTTTGTCAGATTCTTTCTCAAATGAGACAAACATTTTAAAAATTGAAAGAAGGTAAGTTCGTTAACCACCCATTACCCAGATAAGATGTCAATTATCATCTCAGTAGCACGTATGAAGAACGGATATGTTGAGTCCTGGTGTTGAAAACGATAGTTATCACGAAATAGTTAGTATCAAGAATAGGGAACTGAGATATGTACATTGATTTTCTGATTTGAAATAAACTTTAAAATGTGTTTATAATGTATTGTTTTGTCAATAATACCATTTATCATTAGTATTGAGTTCATATAAAAAAATTCTTGTTTTAAAAAAACACGAACATTTTTATTACATTCCTAATTTGATTCTCAAATTTATTTTATGAACATTTTCTTGAAAACAAAAATAGGTTCAGTATTAAAGAACAAGCAACATTTGAGTGTGATAGTTAATTCCTCGTACTATACCAGTATCTTATAGATTTTAATGACACGGGCAATAATCAACTATCAAACTACAAGTGGATGCAATATATTAGATATAAAAGTACTACTTATTTGGAATAACTTCGTCCGGGTGTAAACAAGACTTCTCCTACATATACAGAAACAATAATCAACAGAAGCAGCCACGTGTTCTTGGTCATGAGTCATAAACGTATGGCTTCTAATATATGCATCATAAATTCTGAAAGTACGATCAGTGGCTTCCACGTATTTACTAGGCTTCAGGATAGTGGTTTATCATGGTTATCCATCTTCAAGCATATGGAATTTTCGCTTTCCGCTATTAGTCGTTTCGGCTTTTCACATTGAATATTTTGTAATTGTTTGACTAATGATCAGCGTTTGAAATATCATACCTTTCAATCAACCAATCTTTATTTCTTGTGGAGGCCGCAGGCCCGTTCTACATTTACATTTGACTATGAGAGAGTACATGTATATACAATATACAATATACAATATAAACAATAACATACGGTTCGGTTATGTTACAATATGTAAAATGACTGTCTAAGTCGCATAGCATTATATTCACACACTGATAGATTTTTTGAAGTTTCTGGATTTACTTCTGACATTAACAGGTTAATTTATGTGCAGTAGGATGCAAATAGTATATATTTGGCAAAAATACCTTAAAACAGTCATAGGTCAGTGAGGACGGAAAAAACGAATACAAATTCTGAAAGAAATGCCGTCTGTAGTGTGACCCGCTAACCTAATGTCATTCAAAATCATGTTGACACTATTCTATGTTTATCTTTTCTCATCCAACACATTTCATGTCGGTTCATCCTGATTTGTGTTAGATACATTTGACTTGATTAATTTCCTCAATAAAGAGGCACGGTGGGGTAGCCTAATGGTTAAAGCGTCCGGTCGTCAGGCTGAAGACCTGGGTCCGATGCCCCACATGGGTACAATGTGTGAAGCCCATTTACGATGTCCCCCGCCGTGATATTGCTGGAATATTGCTAAAATCGGCGTACACACACACACGCACACACGCACGCACGCACACACGCACGCACCCACGCACCCACACACCCACACGCACACAAAGCGGAATAATAATAGTCATTACATCAGGCGTCGTTTGGATGACAAAACCTTTTAACACAAAACCTACGAGTTTCTCATTTAGACAAACATACATTGTTTACTGGATGTCATTAGTTAACTAAGTGTAACAGCTGTCAACTTGTGACGATGGCTGTTTGATTCATGTCTATGGAGTGATAGGTGCCGGCACAATATACCTGATGTTACAATGAAAACTCATTTCACACTGATTATAGCATTATAAAAGATTCCTTTGCCTTCGGCACCTGACGTGATCACTCTAATGGCTACAATGCAGAGAGATTTCCGCATTATTATTGAAAATGTTTCTCTTCATGTTTGCTAGACATCTGCACCAAAGGTATGTGTTATTTACAAAATGTGTTGATGTAATTGATGACATACTCTACAAACGCAAGTGCCGGGCCATACAGTACAAATGGTATGATTGGTCGGCAGAAGACAGATCAGCTGAATAATGACTGTGGTCCGTACTATGATCTACGCTAAACATGTCAAAAGTGCTCTAGCCCGGCGTTCTCGTGCATTTTTGTTTATCGTACTTTTTTGTCAAATGTAGAGAAAACGAGAGTACGAAATTTGGACATGATGCAAACTCACAATCAACATTTCACTTCCTCTTCCCGCGATCCGAAATTTTCACGTTTCAGACCCGTGAGTGCATGTGTAATATGATATTATTAAGGATTGATCAGTTGGTTGTTAACGCCGAACTCAGCAATATTCCAGCTATGTGGCGGCGGTCTGTTATTAATCGAATCTGGACTAGACAATCCAGTGATCAGACCGTAAATTATTTAATTATGTATCGATGTTTGCTAAATTATAGTGTATCGCTGCAAAGTCACTGGAAGTGATTGTAATTTTAACACTTTCGTAAAAGATCTAAAATTACATTAAAAAACACTGAAACATACCGGAAAAATGTAAGTGAAAAAGTAAAATCTTTATGTGCATAGTTTTTAACACTTATGACAACTGCATTATTAATTATGACCTATCATTTTTAACCCCACCACCCTGGTATTTCCATCCACGTGACACTGTACAGGGGATGTAAAATCGTGGAATTCTATTGCTAATAAATGATGCTGAAAAAAAAAAGGAAAAAGGTGACAATATAGTGAAAGGGAAAAATAATAAATCCAGTTATCAACAGCAGGCGCATCGATCTACGCCATTGGAATGACGATGACACGTATCAACAAAGTCAGCGAGCCTGACCAGTGACCACCCGATCCCGTTAGTCGCCTCTTACGATAAGCATGGGTTCTAAAGACCCATTCTGACCCTGATCTTCGCGGGTTTATTATTAGTGAGTGAGTGAGTGAGTTTAGTTTTACGCCGCTTTTAGCAATATTCCAGCAAAACACGGCGGGGGACACCAGAAATGGGCTTCACATATTGTACCCATGTAGGGAATCGAACCCGGGTCTTCGGCGTGACGAGCGAACGCTTTAACCACTAGCCTACCCCACCGCCCCTAGGTTTATTATTAAGGAACTCGAGCACTGTAATAGTTCGCTCGAGATGCTTCTTTCAAGTTCTTAGAAACTAGTAGGTTCTACTGGCATTATGTTAACCTGGAATCAGTCTGTAAAGGAACTAGGCGTGAAATCACGAACGTTAACCTGGAATCAGTCTGTAAAGGAACTAGGCGTGAAACCACGAATGTTAACCTGGAATCAGTCTGTAAAGGAACTAGGCGTGAAACCACGAATGTTAACCTGGAATCAGTCTGTAAAGGAACTAGGCGTGAAATCACGAACGTTAACCTGGAATCAGTCTGTAAAGGAACTAGGCGTGAAATCACGAATGTTAACCTGGAATCAGTCTGTAAAGGAACTAGGCGTGAAATCACGAATGTTAACCTGGAATCAGTCTGTAAAGGAACTAGGCGTGAAACCACGAATGTTAACCTGGAATCAGTCTGTAAAGGAACTAGGCGTGAAACCACGAATGTTAACCTGGAATCAGCCTGTAAAGGAACTAGGCGTGAAACCACGAATGTTAACCTGGAATCAGTCTGTAAAGGAACTAGGCGTGAAACCACGAATGTTAACCTGGAATCAGTCTGTAAAGGAACTAGGCGTGAAACCACGAATGTTAACCTGGAATCAGTCTGTAAAGGAACTAGGCGTGAAATCACGAATGTTAACCTGGAATCAGTCTGTAAAGGAACTAGGCGTGAAACCACGAATGTTAACCTGGAATCAGTCTGTAAAGGAACTAGGCGTGAAACCACGAATGTTAACCTGGAATCAGTCTGTAAAGGAACTAGGCGTGAAATCACGAATGTTAACCTGGAATCAGTCTGTAAAGGAACTAGGCGTGAAACCACGAATGTTAACCTGGAATCAGTCTGTAAAGGGAACTAGGAAAGGCGTGAAACCACGAATGTTAACCTGGAATCAGTCTGTAAAGGAACTAGGCGTGAAACCACGAATGTTAACCTGGAATCAGTCTGTAAAGGAACTAGGCGTGAAATCACGAATGTTAACCTGGAATCAGTCTGTAAAGGAACTAGGCGTGAAACCACGAATGTTAACCTGGAATCAGTCTGTAAAGGAACTAGGGCGTGAAACCACGAATGTTAACCTG